CTCATGCGAGGTCTACCTTTATCGCCAAAAGGGCGAGAAATGAGTTGTTACCGATTTTCTTATTATGTTTTTCAATTACTCGCGCGTAAAACTAAAGTTGATGTATAATAGCGTTGTGTAAAGACTTAAATATTGTAAAAAAGTTATTGTATAAATTTTATTTAAAACATTCTAGCAAGAAAGAAGTTTTAGTCTGAAAGACTTTTTGAAATGTAGTTATTTCAATGTAGAAAGAATTGGCACTTGCTTTGAAAAGAATAGAAGTTAACAATGTACTACTAATGTATGTTTTCAAATGTGTAAAATTAACGGCATGTTGATATGTTCTGTTATTTTAAATGTTAAGAAATACCGTGATATGGTAAAAGTGAAAGTAATGTTAAAAATTTGTTTTATTCGTGTGACTGTAAAGATTAAATCATGGTGAATATGTGTTAAAGGTTGAATGATGTAGTTAGGCTCTCTGACGCTACACTTTAGAGTTAGCCACTTTCAGAATAGTACCTCAGGGTTTAGAGTTGAAATTAGGGTGTGTTAAGAGGTCTTGTTATGTTGAATTTTAACACGTTAGTGTTTTGATTGTAGGAGGAAGTGTGGAACACGTAGACAGAAACACATTCGTGTTTGGTGTTCTTTTACAACACATGTCAGAGAGCACGGGGAGAGATAATTAAAATAGTCATGAATGAAATAAGAATGTTAAGAGCAGTATAATTCTATATGTTACTTGCCATGTCATTGTGTAACATTTCATTAAACTAGTTTTCCTTCCAGATCTCTGGAAGGAACCAGAATTGAATAAAAGCTCCTGTTTAGATGCAGTACAGATGAAAAAAAGATTGTTGTATATATCCTGGGAGCTGCTATTGTAACAAATTTCTTTCTTTTAAATTTCTAGTTTCTAGCGAAGTTATGTTTGTAAAAGATTGGCCTCGCGTTAGATTCTAGAGCTAAAAGTTTTCAACAAGGTCGTTTTAGACCTCAGTTTCAAACTAATTAACTCTGGCGGGAAGTATGTAAGGATCTTAAGTTTTACTAACGTTTATTTTATTTTAAATCTTTACTATCACTTCTTATTTTCTACTTCCGGCCAGAATTATAAGCGTGAAGGTTTTTTATGCAAAGTTTGTCTGGCGAACGCCAAGTATTTAAGTTGTGGCCTTTTTGCCAAGCAGAAGAGAGGAAGCAGTGAGTCGAAGCAGGCCGCTTACCTTAGAAGTTACGCAGTTGCTGTTGCCTTCCAGGCCAGAGGTTTTAATCCTCTTGATAAATTTAAACGTATTGTAGTGTTCACAGTCTCTGTACTACATACGCTTCCTGTTATTATAAGGCCAATCTTCCACGTTATTATTTTAAAGTTAAATTAGAGTTTAGTTTTATTTTTATACTTTTTTACGTTAGACCCCGAGTGGAGGGTCAGTGTATTCCGAAGTACGGAAGTTATTGTATATAGAGAAAAATAAAGGGTTTTGTATACCCTTCGTCTGTATCCTGTCTACTTACCACAATTAGTGAACATAGCTTTAGTAAGCTCTCTGTTCCGAGTCAGGTCCTTGTATGTTCCCGAAGAAGGTTAGAAGGAACATTGAACCTGATAATTTGATGGAGTCATCAAACAGAAAACCTACCTGGCAGGATATTTTTATCTGTAGTCCTACAACAAAACAATCTGCCTCTGGATTCCTTCACATTCGAAACGGCGTCTTATACCGGAAATTTAATCGGGTGATGGGAAGACGTTCCGATGGCAACTGATATTTCCATGATCCCAGATTCCTGATGTCCTTAAATAACTACATAATAGCCCTACAGGAGGTCACTTTGGAATAATGAGGACCTTGCAGAGAGTTCGTGAGCGCTTTTACTGGAATATTCAAAGGATGACGTGCAAAAGTGGTGCCCATCTTGCCATGCCTGTGCAGGTCGGAAAGGACCGAAGAGACGCAGCTAAGGCAAGCTGCAACGTTGCAACGTAGGAGCGCCTTTTGAACGAATCGCCTTTGACATCTTGGGACCTCTGCCACGAACTGCTGATGGCAACAAATACATACTCGTTGTCACTGATTACTTCACCAAGTGGCCTGAAGCGTATCCTATTCCTGATCAAGAGGCTGTTACAGTAGCTGAGGTGATGATACAGCTCTGGATTTCCAGGTTCGAAGTGCCTCTTCAGTTACATTCCGATCAGGGAAAGAATTTTACCTCGGTAGTAATCAAAGAACTATGCAAACTACTCGGTATTGACAAAACCCAAACGACGTCATTACATCCCCAGTCGGACGGCATGGTAGAGAGGTTCAATCGAACCATCCTTAATAAACTCTCATTAGTGGTTTCCAGAAACCAGCAGGACTGGGACACGAAATTATCGCTGTTTTTACTTGCTTACCGCAGTGCTGTCCACGAGACTACCGGCTATTCCCCATCACAGATGATCTTCGGTCGTGACCTTCGTCTTCCTTGTGATCTATTGTTTGGTCGCCCTCCGGATGCTCCTTCATGGTCTGAGGAATATATTCAAGATCTCCAGGCCCGGTTTGAAGTGATGCACAACTTTGCACGAGAGCGAGTCAACTTGGCGACGGAGAAGATGAAGACCCGCTATGACACAAGAGCTACTGAACATCAATTCCACGAAGGAGACAAGGTGTGGTTGTGGAATCCGATTCGACGGAAAGGACTTTGTCTGAAATTACAGTCACTTGGGATGGTCCGTACACGGTCCTAAACAGGCTGAATGACGGTGTGGTTCAGATCGGTAAGACTTCGAACTCTAAGCCTAAAGTCGTTCATTACGACAGGTTAGCTCATTACTAGGGCCATAGTACTTAATGTAAATAATTGTAAATAGTGTAAGACCATGGTCCCCTTTTTTTTCTTCTAAATATGTATTTAGTATTTGATTTGTATTTAATATTTGAATGCATTTGATTTGTTTAAGTTAGTTATTGCATTTATGTTCATGTTGTTTATTATTGTAATGTAATGTTTAGCATTGCACTTATGCCTTAGTTGTAAGTTTGACTTCCTGTCCAGGGATTGTACTGCCCGGGACGTGCAGTCCTTGGGAAGGGGGCAGTGTTACGAATTTGGCATTTAAATAATTAACGTTAGTTGAATTGTAAATTAAATGGTTTTATTTCCCACGCAGTGCAGCGCGTGACGAATATTAAAAGAAAGCTAAGCCGGAAAATTGAAAATACAAGAGCACGTGCACATAACATTTAATAAATATCTCTTTTTTGATTTCGAGAAAGTACTAGAAAATTCTCGCGCGCGATTTTAAAATCTTATAAAAGGAGGAAAACCTCTCAGTTCGTTGTAGTTACTTAGTTTGTTGTTATTTAGAAAACTGCTCTTGTTGATTGTAGCGAATTCGCGGATTAGCTTTCTTTAGCTGTTTTGAATTAAGTTCTCTTGAACGTTTGAGTAGTTAGAAGATAACTACTGTGATATATTGTGATACTGCACGATTATTTGAGGACATTTAATCATATTTGTTGTGATAATAATAAATTTTTGTTCATTTTTCATCGGACTTATGCATTAATTCCTTAACGAACCCGTACGCACGCAACATTATTTTTGTTTAAATATTTTAGAATGTTAGAAAACGAATGAATGTTGAAAAAGACACACAAAATCAAAGATACGTTAAAATTAATTTTTTTGGCTTTGAGAATGAGATTCCGATGACCTCAGACATCTCGTGATTTATGTATAGCTAATATAAACAAACAAGTTCATTCATCCTCTTCTTCTTTTGCGGAATGTATCTCATTGACTTTTAAAACAAATAATACACAGTAATGTTGAGCAAAGGATTCAAATAACCTATTTAGGCACAATATTGTTTGTTTAAAATGCCTGAGTTTCTTACTGAGAAGCTAGCGTAAAAATTGGGTCAGACTGACCCCGTGCCTGTAATAATGTCATGGAAAAGGGTGCGTGAGCTGAAGGGTTAATGCACTATGTCTCATTTGATGTACATATGAAAAATACATGTTTCTGAATGACTGCTGAAATTTTAACTGTTAACAGTAAAATTTGCATACACTGAAACTTCTTTTCACTATTTTCTTGAGGATTACAGTAGAACTCCAATTATACGTATCAGCTGGGACCAGACGACCCCATTCGGATAATTGGAGTTTTTCCGAAGAAAGGATCTACGTACACTTGAATTAATTACTGTATGTACTCTATGTTGAAAATGGGAGAAAAAAACTGTCTTTAAAGAAAAAGAGGTTTTAATTGAGTAAAATGTAAAGAAAACACTTTTACGTACATGTTATATAGCGTACTGTACAGTATGTACAAGTGCTGAAAGTCATTTCTTGCTGAACATCTCGGTCAAAGTAAGCTGTTTGACGGACAGCGTGCCTGCAGATTTCTTAGCCAACCGTTATAAAGGATGAACAACCAAGCTTCTGAGCTAAAATCTTAGCTTTTTCACAAAGAATCATATCCGAGATTGGGTTTCCCATAGAATATTGCTGCAAAAACCACCCCAAAACAACATCTTCTAAATTTTTGTTTATTGCTGCTTTGACGAGCTTCCATCTTCGTTTTCAAGCACTGGCAAAAGTTTAAAAGTGTAGGTTTGATCCTTTTAATGTCTGAAATCGTTGACTGTCCAACACTTCGTTTCCGTCTTAATTTGTTTCTTAATTTCTGAAAGCGATTCGGATATTCGGAGTTTGGATAATTGGAGTTGTACTGTATTTATAAATTATATCTAAACGATATTTAGCTGACATTGAAATTTTGTGAAATTTATGCAGGAAAAATATCGTTAATTGCATTTTATTTTTGCACCAGTATATACTGATTCATGTTAGAAGCTCACTTTTTTCAAATCTTAAAATACCAGTATCTGCCAGATTTTTGTAAATTAAAATGAAATTTGATTTATTTTGTTGGTTTAGAAGTTTTGTAACAATTTGTAATATATTGTAGGGCCGAAATCTTTCAGAAACACAAGACGCAGTCAAGCACAATTTACTTTTTGCCCTTTTCAAAACTTTATTTATTCACAGAGTGAGATACAAACATGAAATTAGTCGCAGTTCAGTTCAGTTCTCTCAGAAACGATATCTCCGACCTGTTGGCCATCCTTATCTACACACCAGCAGCTGTTGTTGTAATCCCAGCATTGTTTCTTAGCCCAGCTACCATCATCTTCGCACTGAGGAATGTAGGCATTCTCGTGGTCTGGAAGAAAGAAAGGAATTTTAGTTTGACAGTAAATCAGTAACGTAAGATTTCATTAATTAGACATTCCAAATGTTATTCTGACTAGCGAAAGCTATCCGAAACCGAAAGGCGAGTTTGACTCTCTTCTAAGTGTTGGCTATCTGCGTGTTGTCTTCTGGTTAGCGAAGACTTCGAAACGGAAGGCTGATCTTGAAAAAAAGCTCCTTTTTACTCCCCCCCCCTTTTTTTTTTTTTTTTTTTTTTTTTTTTTTTTTGTCATCCTTTATTGCATACCTTGGGAAAAAAGTTCTTGGTCACAAAACAGTTAAGACAAGGTGGAAGTCTAATCATTAAATGCGTCCCGAACAATCGTTAACCAGAATGTCTCTCTTTATCGGAATTTGTAAAATAATAGTTTTTGTAGTGCTGACGGCAATGCACTGCATTTTGGCAATAACTGCGTATTATTGCGACAAGTTAGAAATAAGCATGGTAACATAAAGGACTTGTTCACACCAGCGGACGAGCGGTAAGAGCCATTGAATGCTGGTAGTTCGGTCCGGGGTTCGAGTCCCAGAGCACTGCACGAAATGTTTTTCTAGGATAGTTCACCATGATAACTTTTCGATCAATTTTTCAAATAGATTACTTGTCGATGGTTTATAGTTTATTGCTTGTATAAACAACATTTATGCGCACGTAAATACTTTGAAGAGCTCAACTAACGAAGACTTATATAATAGAAAATGAAATGGAATTCCTTACTGCTGTCGATCTTCTGCTTCCTCCTAAGGTAGCACCCGCATTCCTTGATCTTGGTGGAGATAGGGCTAGCAGCGTGTCCTTTCTTGTCGTAGCAGACGCAGAACTTGCTGTCCTTGTAGCACTGCAGTTCTTCGTAGTCTCCGTTCTCCTTGCATTTGGGGATAAGCTTCATGATAGTCCCTATTTTCTCAGCTTGCTCTCGGTGTTTTTCGCAGTCACTCTTAGCTGCGAGAATAAAAACACTATTAATAACGGTTTAAAATTCTCTACTTTCTTGAGAATTAAAAGATCAAACTCAAGTGCACTTAATCAGAGCAAGTTAAATGAATTAAAATTGCCTATTTGCATATTGAGGGTCAACGGAATGTTTGAAAGTGAAGAATCTTGTTAAATGGATAGGTTCTAAAAATTTGAATGAAAACTTTAAAACCAGAATGAAATGGAGAAGCAACGTAACCACTAAATCTTAAAGAAAAAGAAAAAAATTCGTAACTTCAGCGGGATAAAGTATTAGCTTTTCTTTGAAAGAATAACCTTCCATTGAACGTTTCCTTCCTTTTTAATAAACGAAGTACTTTTCAGTTCCATAATATCCTCATTTTCTGTAATTTCTTTTATAATTTTTCGATGATCTTATTTTGTTTAAAAAAGAAATTGAGTTGGATCTGTATTCAGTCTGTTATTGGCTTGAATATTTTAATATTTTGAAGTCTCGCTTTCTTTGTTAGCATCAAATGGACGAAACTTATAAGATTTAAGTGAATTTTCACTATCCCTTGTAAAGTACCACAGAGGCTGAAAATGATTATAAAGGACACTTTCATTTAACTCAAATAACTGTTCAACAGAAGTCAAAAGTCAGCATTTATGGCTTAAATCAAAGTACAGAAATTGACTTAACTAAGCCATCGTAATTTTGTAGGGTTTTTCTTAATTTGCATAACTAATTTATTTTAAGTTTACCTGTTCTCAACTTCTCTCACATTCTCTCGCCAGGATGTAAATTTTAAGTTAAGTGACGTGCTATTTAAACGTGTGATTATCTCAGTTTTATTCAGAGCGTGTTTCGCTAGCCTAGCGCACGTTTCGTTGTTATTTTCGCGGTAACTCGAGTTAGGCCATTTTAGCCGTTTTCAGTTTAGTATCACGCCGGTTAGATCTCTGTGAGTCCATCTCTTAGGAGAAATTTTGATTTTTCAGATTTGATTTTGTATTCGCGTCTACGTTTAAGTTATCGCCGCAAGTGAACGGTGTTTTTGTAAAGCTGAGTTAATAAAGAGTTATTTTCACCCTTCTTCTGTGCTGGAATTTATTTCACGCCTGTGCGAGAATTCGCCAGGTTCATCGTTGGATCTAAGTTTATGCATGTGGACAGTTAGAGATAGATCTTAGAAGTTAGCCTAACGGCTACATAATTAAAGAATGCGCAAATTGACTCTGACCTAAAGTCGACGTGACAAGCCTAAAGCCGAGGATAACTCCACAGATGCCACAGATTACTACCCTCAAGACAATTAAATTGGCAACGTGGCGTTCAGCAGGCAGAACACTCTCTGATTCTACCAAGGTTCCGCTAGTCGCCGTGATTAACATGCTAGATGCATGTTGTTTTCGGCTATCTTGATGTATTTGCTTCAGCAGGCGCTTGGAGTAGGGTGCTTACTTGATCAGTGAGTCCAAGAAGACAGCTAGGATGGATGAAGGGTAAGTAATGGATGCATAAAACAGTCTTATAACACTCCTAAATGGCTACTGATTCTACCCTCCAAAACCTTCCTTTAAATGCTATCTTCTTTCTACCTCATTTAAATACATGCGAGATAGAAATTTCTATTCTGGCAGGAAAATGGGAAACAAGCAAGACAGGAAAGCAAATTAGCGTAAAACAACCGGTTGTGACTGAAGGTATACAATTTTATGCCGAAACAACAAATTTATAAATGAATTCCTAAACTATTAACTAAATTTAATAAAATGTAAGAGAAATCGAATTTATAATAACAGTTATTTAGGAAGATAGGAATACAAAGAACAATCTTCACAAAATTATCGAGAGAGAAATACCCATAGCCATTAGTAAGTCCTACAGTATATATTCCTATAAAATGTAAAATGAGTTTCAATTTTAGAGTACAGGACTAAAATGAAAAATGAGTTTTACTTTATTAGTACATGACATATTTGTCGTCAAAAGTTGTAGGGGCCTTGTTTATTCCAGAAGAACTACGATCACCGATGCGTCTCTGATTTCAGTGGGGCTCACAAATGATGTTAGATCGCGTAATAGAAACATTCACTAAATGTTGTGATTTTGCATCTGCGAGGGGGGCGTGTAGTGGTCTAGCGTTTGGCAAAATATACAACAGCTTTCTCAGTATCTTATTGCCTAAACATGAAATCGATAATTTTAACGTCACTGAAAACAAATGCTACTTGTGTATTATCTTACCAACTGTGAAACTATTTCCAAGCAAGGAGATTTAGAGCAAACTTGGATAAGCATGACGTCATAACACAGTCCTAATATCTGTGCTTTCGTCTGATATAATCCCGCTCCTTTACTGATTTTGGATACGCCATCTTTTGTTTTTACCACAAGGATATAATTTAACTGTTATTGTTGTATTTTTAATTGCATTTTGGGGAAAAAAAAGTGAGCTTGGGGATTGTAGAATCTCCATTTGGGGCCGAATTCCTATTCATCTACAGCTGATCGAAAGAATTCACATCTATCGAAAAGAGGGGGGGGGCGACAGTTGGTTATGGCGTACAAAATAGTAATAGGTTGGAAAAATCACTTGTGAGAAGTCTGTATTAACAGCGTTCTAAACAGAGCTTTCGGTAAAAAAGGAGGTCCTAACAAAATAATAGAAATAAACAAAATCTTTCCTACGAAGTGTATAAGAGAAGCGGGTTTTCCGGAGTAGTAGGATCTGGTGGACTGCGCAGGGAGATTACACTGACTACCAATAAGTATTTGGACACCTGTGATAGAAAAGAAAAACTAACTTTATTCAAAATCAATAGTTGGTAGAGCCTCCACTTGAAGTAATTACAGCGTGGACCCTCCGGGGCATACCTTCCACAAGTCTTTGTATGACAGCTAGTGGTATTTTCTTCCACTCGGCTTGGAGAAGACATAGAAGTTCCTTCACCGATTTTGCACGGGTAGTGCACCCCTGAATTCGGCGATGCAACTCGTCCCAGAGGTTCTCGATAGGGTTCAGGTCTGGACTCTGGGCAGGCCAGTCCATTCGATGAACTCCATTGGCACCATACCAAGCCTTGGTTAACGTCGAAACATGGCAATTGGCATTGTCATCCTGAAAGTAACAGAGGTCCAACCCGTAAAACTGCCCCAACGTAGGAAGCACATTGTCATTCAAAATAGTGCAGTAGGCATCGGAGTTGAGTTTACCATGAATGGGGACCAAGGGTCCCAGCCCATACCAGGAGAAACACCCCCAGACCATAATTCCACCTCCGCCGAACTTGACTGTTGGCACAATGCATTCTGGCAGGAGACGTTCTCCAGGTAGACGCCAGACCCAGACACTGCCATCCGAACGATAAAGGGTCAACTTTAATTCGTCACTCCAAAGAATCCGTTTCCACTAATCTACGGTCCAATTTCAATGTGCTTTGCACCACATTAACCGAGCAGCGCGGTTGGACTTTATGATCAAAGGCTTATGGGCAGCAGCACAACCATGAAAACCAAGCAGATGTGCTTCCTTACGGATGGTATTCATTGAAACAATACTCCCGGATGCCTGTTGAAATTCCTCGCGAATGAGGGCCATCAGTTGGTGCGGTTCTTCCGAATTTCTCTGGACAGCACTCGTCGGTCTCTATCTCCCAGTTTTGTTGATATGCCGACTCGGGGCACATTCCGACAATCACCGCTCACCTTCCACTTCTTAATCACATAGGCCACTGTCGATTTTGGTTACTTCAGATCGCTAGATATGTCCCTTAAGGATCGGCCACATTTGTGATACCCGATAATTATACCTTTCTCGAAATCAGAGAGCTCCGAACTGCGAGGCATCTTGCATGCGACTAAAGCCGATGCTGTTTCCTACACGATATACACCGGCGGACTCCGTGACTTACCTTAGGACCGCAGATATCGTCATTTGCATAGGTGTTCAAATACTTATTGGTAGTCAGTGTATTTTATTGGTAAGAGTTTCAGATAAAATGCGGCTTAGAATTCCGCATGAACGATTGGCGCAACGTTGGGAGGATCTCCGCGAAATTTCATAGTTCCATGGTAGCCAACTTTCATGGTCGACGGGATAATATATAAGTATCAAACAAATTAATAATAAGCTTGAGGTATAAAAGATGAAAAAAATCTCTTAAATTTCTAAGCAGAATGTAGTAAGTTCTGACGAAAACACTCAAGAATAATTTCCAGTATTTTATCTGTTCGAGGAATTTGTACATTACAATGTTTTGGTTAGTAAAGAGTACTCAGTCTGCAGTTTAATGATTAGATGTTTAACATTTTAAATTTGAGATCAAAGCAAAAAATTTCAGATTGTTATAATTTATTAAAATAATTACTATATTTCAAATAAATAAGATACTTACGCCTAGCAAGAGCTACAGCCACGACGACAAGCTGCAAAGAAAATTAAAATAATATATTTCAAGAAACTTACAATATTTTTACAATATTAATCATATAACTAATCCTATAAATAATGCTTAAGTGATATTTCGATGGTTCAATAGTATTTGCACTATTTGCTTTAAAAAACTCTTCAATATTACAGCATTTCACTTCTGTTTTAATGTGGATCTAGTTATGATCAGAAATTCACATATATAAAAGCAGTCTCTTCAAAGTTTCAGCTGTTATCTGCATTTAACTTATAACCTGTAGTTTCTTCTCATATGCCTGTAATTTTTAGAGAAATCAGAGTAATGCACTACAACAATCAATAAACTGACGACCGAACATTCAAAAGAATTCACTTCTTGTTACTTTTATTCACTCTAGCTTACTAGAAACTGGGAGAAGAGTTTATACTTCAATTTAAGTGTTGTGTTTTCGTAGATTACGATGGATTACTTCATTATAGCAAAGCATACGAGGTCTGACTCAAATTTAGACTTAGACTAAATGACTTAGATTCATCAAATTTGACCTACATCATGCAGTAGAATGAATCTGAAGGTCAAAGAACTTGCCACGTAACTCACGAGTGGATCTTAAGTTAACGGCAAATGCACTTTGATAGCAAATATCTATACTTTACACATGGTAACGAATGTAGCGACCCGTTAGTACCAATCTCTCCTTTAAGGTGTGGTTTATTTGATTTTGTCAAAGAACTTGAAGGCTATCTGCCTAAAGAGCGGATCTGCCTTCGTGGAGGATTTCTAAGGGCTCTTATCCATGTTAAACATGAGAAAAAACACGAAAACGCCTATGCAGTTAGCACGTTTGCAGTAATTCCAACCCAGGTCGAACTAACAGTGCTTAGGGACTTTACCGCTTGGCCACTTGTGTCCGGGTTTTTTTAAAGATAACTAACACTTTTTTTGTCTTTTTGAAGAAGGTGTACAGTCTGTCTATAAGAAAAGCTCTCGCCAGTTAGTCTGCAGCTGTCTGTTGCCATAGAAACGAGCCTTGATCCATTTTCCATAAGGGTGTCTTGAAGATTTACTTTTCACTTTGCCATCTTGACGCATTTAAAGATGAATTGGCAACCCTTGGTTCTCCCCATTTGAAATATACTAGCTCTGAGCGACCCCCACCCGCCAGACACTGTGGCGGGAACTATTCTTCTCGTAGACAGACAGTATCCTTAATGCAATGTAAGTTTCCGCTAGTCGCAGGATGGTTTTGGATCGCTGTTGACTATAACGGCTTTAAGTAATTATTAAGCTGTAACAAAGAAAATACGATAAGTGCTTAGATTTATTTACTGAATCAGTTTGGTTTATTTGATTATGGCAAAGCACACGAGGGCTATCTTCCTAAGCGGAAGGATGCTTTCGTGGAGTGTTTTCTAAGGAAAACTGCCTCCTATCCTGGTTACACACGGGTGAAACTACGAACAATGTGCATACATAATACCCAAACGAAAATGCCCATTCAGTTCGCCTGGAATCGAACTCAGGTTGAACTACTAGTGTTCTGCGACTTTTACTGCCCGGCTGCTGGTGGGCTTAAGTGAATTAGAACAAAACATGTACATAACAGAAATAAAACACGTAGTTGATCAAAGTTAATAAGATATTGACAAGTTTCTATTTTATTAAACATGTAATTAATCAAAGTTAACAAAATATTGATAAGAATTTTGATAAATCTTTTCACAGTCGCCTTGCTCTCAAAATTCTGCTTATCAAATTACCCTACAGCCTCAGTTAATCGAATGATGACCATGCAAAAGATATTTGATGGAATAAAACTTAATTTTCTGTTAAAAATATAAAATACGTACGTAGTTTGTTCACTAATGTTGCTGAAACATATAATTTAATGCAAAAATAAGATATTTAATAACTGAAAACAAATTTGTGTTTAACTAAAATTAAATATGGAAATGGATTATCCAAAACTATGCCTGTACCACACAGTTCGAAAACCTGGAAGTTCTACTGAATTGATAGCTTTGCGAAATAATACTCAGAACCTGTAACCTTCATTTGCCATTAATTAAACAGAAAGGCAGAAAAAAGTTTTTGTGTCTTTCTTTCGTATAGAATAAAATACATAATCATAATATAAAAATACCTAAGGATATTAAAGCACATGCTGAACTAAATGGCAGCTTACCAAAAGGAAAATGGCGCACTTCATATTTGCTGTTTGATCTCAGTCTCCTAGTCTCTGAAATAGAAAAAAGTAACAATATAAAAACTAGACTAAAAACTAATTCCAAGCAAAGGTTTAGTATAGAACGTCACGCAGTTTTATAAATAATGAAATTTTCATATTATGCGATATTTATGACTTTTGTGTCACAAATCTTCGGCTTTCCAAGATGCTGCCAAATAAACAAGAACAGTATTTTGTTTTAAATGTCTTAGTCTCACAGGATATCAATCCATGCAGGATGCTTATAATTCCCATCATCAAAAACAGGAATTTTGTAAAGCAGGTAATTTTGTAATATACTTTCTAGTGATCCTCAAGTCTTTTGGGGTTGGAAAACGGGAAAGCTCAGCTTTGCTGTCGCTAGTTGATGACCACGGATCTTCTAATCTAGTATTAAAATAGCCATTTCACGGTAGTAACGAACATCTCTCATTTACGATCGTAATATATGTCGTCATCTCGGGAAAGAGGTATTTTAGAAAAATAGAGGATTCCATCTTTTCCTGTTTTTTTGCAGCTGTTGTTACCACGGTAATGATGGATTGTTTGGATGGGGAAACATGACAGCATGCACATAGGAAGGTCATAATTCCTCAGAACTAAAAAAATATATTAAAAGATAATGAGCATATAAAAGGGGGAAGTTTCAAACACGACAACAAATAATGTAAATTTAGGTTTTCCTGTAAACTGTCTTTTCTCATGTTCTTGCATTTTACATTTTCCTTTTATTACGGCTTGCGAAACGTAAATATCCATACTCTTTTTGAATTTTAGAAATAAGAACTGTAATATATCATAAATTTATTTTCTAGTAACTTCCATTATAAGTATTCAATAAATTTATTTATTAATGAATTCGATTACAATAAAAAACCACTTAAAAGAAATTTATCTTACTTGAAATGACGAAGAAAAATAAAATTGAATACTCTAGCCAGTAAATCTCTCATCTCAAAACATTTTAAATTAATAAATTTTACCCCTGCTGCGTTCTTAGAGGTGATAAAGAAATTATTACAGTAGTATAATGTACGGAAACGAAATAAATGAACACTAAAATCGAAGTCGATACATATAGACAGATTTTTACTCTTAAACGATGGCAACGGGAATTATTTACGTATTTTGGATTTAACGTATTTCTTCGAGTATTTTACTAGCCTTTTTTTTTTTTTTACTTCCTTGTACGAAGTAAAAAGGAAGTATTGTAATCGCGAAAAGATTCAGGCAGCATATTTCAACGAAAATATCATTTTGACCGATATCGAATGCAATTTAACGATGTTTTTGCGTGATATCTGTATGTAAGGACAGAATAAAAGACTCGTATCCTCCAAAAAAAAATTATAAAACTGCTTTAAAATTAATTCTGAAGAGAATTTTTCGTGGCGTCTGTACGAATGTATGTACGTACATACGTATCTCGCATAACTCAAAAACGATTAGCCTCAGAACATCGAAATTTTGTATATAGGACTGCTATAACATGTAGATGTGCACCTCGTATTTTGTTTGCAATCGGCCGCACCAAACGTATATAAATATATTTATATACTATATATCCACTCTGTTACCCGGCGCAGTGATCTCAGTTTCTTTACTCTTATATGTTTGTAAATTTTTTGCTTTAAAAATGACTGAATTATGTTATTTTTATCTTCTGGTTAAGGTTTCTATGCCTTTAGTAAATCCGTATGCAATATTTTTAGAATTATCAACAATTTTAAAGTTGTTTAAGTGCCGCTAAGCCTTTTTTTTATGGCGGCCATTGATTGTTTACATTTGAAACGGCAGACTAGTGGATTTGTTGCCAATCTAGAGAAACTTAGCTTCGCAACAACAAAGATAACGCCTTCATTTATTATTGCCAATTAAATCATGCTTAAGCCTCTCTGGAATTTTTTCGAGGAAAGAAGTGTTTAAGATTTACTTCGTAATTCTTAATATAGATATTTTGAGTTTTTATGTATTATTGTTTTCTCGCGAAGTGAGAACTGAAGTAATTGAATGAGAAATACTCAATCGTCTGTGAAAAACTGTTTTTTTTTGTTTTTTTTTTTTTTTTTTTTTTTTTTTTGTTTTTTTTTTTTGTTTGTTTTGTTTGCTTAATTTCTTTTATACATCATTCTATCTTTATTATAGTATTTGAATAGAACATGTGGCAACGATTAGATAATTCTATTCTTTAAATGACATAAATTTTGTGCATTATGAGTTATAATATGAACGAAATATTAAGTGAATCTAGCGCCAGAGTGTCGCTATTGTAAACAAATATAGTGAATTTTAAAGAGTGCATTTATTTTATTGTGGTTTATGCGCTGTCGGCGAAGTAGATTTAATTCAATCCAATAAGTTTAAATGAAATGCAAGAAAAAATGCGTATAATTTAATATTCCATACAAGGAAGTCATGTGGTGTACACATAAGATTTTTTAGATAACTTTATCGACCTAAAATCGAGACAATGTATCACGGTACGATGTACGAAACCGAAGTGAAGAGTAAAATAACCTTCGATACATACTAGGCAGATTTTCATCCATTAACAATGGCAACGGGAGTTATTTACTTATTTTGATTTCTTCTGTTTTTTTTTACTAATTTTAACGTCCTAAAATCGAGAAATTAAATTAATGTGAATAACTTAGTTTCCGAAGGATGCGATTACATCAACAGCATAACAAATAAAAAGTAATCATGGAGAAGCTACAGATAAATATTACAATATTAATTTTTCAAAATAATTCTGCACTACAATAAGAATATATAGTAATATTAACAATATAATAGCGAATAACGTAGCTTCGTTTTTACTTCAGTGTAATGTGAATCTCGCCCGTTCTTATTGTTGTCTCTGCTACTCCTTAAGGCTCAAATTATCCTTAAGTAATTAAAAAAGGTGAATGCGCAGGGGATTCGGCAGAATCATAGAGTAAAGTCGTGTCTACGACAAAGTACGTCTTTCTAAGTACGTAGCGTATTCGGAAACTAAGTACCGTTTCATTCTAGCGCCGTCGCAGCACTGAGGTAGGCGTCCCGCGCATGCGCACTAGTCTTTCTTGTTCACTGACTTTCAGTTGTCGCCATTTTGGTTGCTCTATGTTGTGTTTTCAGTTTGCTGTGCACATTCAAAATGTTTAAGACAATTAGTTCTCCCGCTGACCCGATGAGTTCCAAAAATGCTCACTGATGTTCACAAAACAAAGCGACTTGGTAGTGCCCTGACATTTCTCACGCGGTACAGTGATGAGGGAGAAACTTTTAAAAAAAAACCAAATTGTGACAGGTGATGAAACTTGGGTGTGTCATTTCACACCAGAATCGAAACAACAATCGATGGAGTGGAGACACACTTATTCTCCGAAAAACCAAAAGTTCAAAGTGACAATGTCATCACAAAAAATCATGTGCACTTTCTTCTGGGATAGGAAAGGCATATTGCTTACTAAATTTCTTCCCAGAGGTGAAACCATTAATGCGGCACGATATTGTGAAACTTTAACAAAACTAAGGCGTGCCATTCAAAACAAACGAAGAGGAATGCTCGGTAAAGGAATTGTGTTGCTCCATGACAATGCTCGGCCCCATACTGCTGGTATCACTCAATTGTTAATTCGACAGTTTCATTGGGAGCAGTTCGATCACCCGCCGTACAGCCCGGACTTGGCGCCGTCCGACTATCACTTGTTCCTGCACATGAAGCGCGAGCTTGGTGGCAAGCGCTTTGGATCTGACGATGACACGAAAAATGCTGTTGAGTCGTGGTTATCGAAACTGGCGGGAAGTTTCTTTGACGATGGTATACAAAACCTGGTTAACCGCTATGACAAGTGTTTGATCAGTGGCGGAAACTATGTTGAAAAATAGTTTAAGACATGTATTTTCATGTAAAAATAAAATTGGACTCGAAAAAATTGTTTTACTATTTTCTTTTCAAAACGGTACTTAGTTTCCGAATACGCCTCGTAATTAGAGAAAGTACATACGATGTTCGTGTTTGCTTCACTGTGATGGGTTGGCTGTTGTAAGACACTGGTTTAAAGTTCAACAGTTAAAAGAGAAAGGTTCAGCTTGACGTTCGCAGGTGTTAGTGACGGTTTATCTTTGTTAGTAAGACCGATCAGTACGCTGTTGAATACATTTTAAAATTTATAGAGCTCGTTCTCCGAAAGCATTGGGAAAGGGGAAAAATTACGTGAATATTTTTTAAAGTTTCAGAAAACCTGACGCTAAAAAGTTGGGGGGGGGAGTGGCCGAGGAAATACGGTATTAAATTGGAGCAAAACACAGTAAGGCTATCTGTTTAAGGCAGGAATGCCTTTGCGGAGGACTTTTCTGAGCAAAAATTGCTCATATTCACATAGGACCTGCAGGAAATCATTAAAATGTTCATGCAAGAGGTCCAAGGTTAAACAAGGATAAGGTAATTAGAGTGCATATAGAAGCAAATATCAGCTTTACTGCCCGACAGGGGAAAAACAAAAAAACTGAAAGTTTCAGATTTTAACGGTCACCCAGAAGGTTTTGTTAAGGTTGTTTACGCTCTCGCTGAGCTCGTAGTCTACCAGTTTGCTATTACATTCATTCCTACTAAGCTTTATTATTATTATTATTATTTTTAGCTTTATTATTAAGCATAATTTTCTTCGCGCTTACGCCGTATACAGTCCAAAAGCAAAATTGCGAAAAATTTAAAAGCAGCATAGCAGTATACGTTTAGAATTTCTGGTGCATAGTGAATACGTTTAAAATTTCTGGTGCATAGTGAATACGTTTAGAATTTCTGGTGCAATTAGAACAGTATAAGTTTAGAATTTCTGGTGCAATTAGAATTTCTGGTGCAATTAGAATTTCTGGTGCATTTCTGGTGTTAAGTGTTCGTATAAATTTCTCTGTTTTTTTTTTTTCAGCATTTTCTCAGTTCATCTTATCAGTGTTCAGTTTTCTTAGTAAGATGGCTTTACAAACTTTTTTTGTCTTTTTATTATTAAAGTTTTGTGTGTTTACTTTAT